AGATCTTATTGTGAATATTCATGTCACCTCAAACATGATCACTGATCACATATGATGTAGATTTAGTTCCACACATAAGACCAATATATCTACTTCTCTTACGGTAGAAATTATTTTATTGACTTTAAAAATATGATTAACTAGTGGCTCAAGTCACATAAAAAAAAATTACAGGTTAAATATAAATAAATAATTTGAAATTAAGGGAGTTTAAAAATTCATCCGATAATGTTACCTGTTACATGTTCACTGAATTACCGAAAACATAGATTCAAAAGCGTAATTATAGTATAGAAGATAAGATAGCGAAATAAGTAAAGAACACAGGTTAATCCAAGAAACGCTATCAACCCAGCTAATCTCAATTCACGAGTGAATATTTTACGATCACCGTCCAAGAACAATTTCATGGCCATCAAGTTACCTTGCGGTCGTATAACTCACGTTAATGCGACGAGCGCATAGTTTGTGGTATCATATTTCGTTGTCTCGATCCATTGATCGACGAGACATGCTTTAATATGCAAATTAAAATGCAAATAATCCCATCGACTCAGCTATCTCTTTACTAACCTATTTTTTATCACTACCAATAGCTCCGTATCACTACTTTTTCTATAAAATTGGTGATCAAAGACACATAAACACTTAAGACAAGTATTTACTACTTGCGGGACTTTTTATCTTTCTGCATTAAATTTCATTGATTAACTTCTTACTCCAAAAAATTAAAATAAAAGTTTTTAAGTATTAATATTTTTGATTTTCTTTACTGACTTTAAGAGTATTTTATTTAATAAATAAATTGAAGTAAAAAAATTAGGAAAACGGTTGACCCTAAAGGCCATCCCTGCAACTTCCCGCTACCTCCATACCTAAGTGCTCAACAATTCACTTATTTTTTAAGCTCTTCGAGCTCAAATATATAATTTTTGTGTAATTTTGAGCTCTCCGAGCTCAAATAAATCGCTGTTCTGTACTTTTGAGCTCTTCGAGCTCAAAAGGCTAGTGGTCGTTTTATAGAACACTATTTTTTGAATTTTCAAACCGTAATAACTTTTGCATGAATTAACCGATTTTTTGCGGTTTACGGCATTCAACGCAGTTTTTTGAGTTCTTTGAAAAATTTTTGAGCGTAAACTGGTGAGACTAGAAATTTCATAGAAATTCTGAAAAAAACATTTTTTTCAATTTTTTTCGACAACGATATCTCACGAACAAATCAACCGATTTTGACCGGGCTGGTGGCAATCGACGTGGTTTTTTGAGTTTAAGAGCTGATAAAATGAAATTAATTTATCACACTGAGAAAAAAAAATACTTTACTCAATTAACAATTTCTTGGTACAAGAAATTCGATGACGATCAAATATTCTATTATTATTAATTATTAATTTCTGAAGAAAAGAGCATCAATATTTATCTTTGAATAATAGATATACAAAAGAATAGCTTTATTTAAATCAAGTAAAAATTATTTTTATCAATTTAACAAGTTCTTGGGCTAAGAATATATATTCTTGAAAATTTTCAAGAACATGAATTCTTGTATCAAGAAAATTTTCTTAATAAAAGTATTTTTTTTCTCAGTGTATTAAAAAATATGACCAGACTTGACTCTTCAAATGTATTTGATGCCTGCCCACACGACCAGCAGCACTCGCTTCGCTCGTGCCGCAAATGTCGGGGCAGGCATCAAAAACATACTTATCCACATTTAAAGTTAAAAAAAGTAAAATTAATAACGTACTTTCGACCGGTTATGAAAAAAAATCGTATACACTACACGGCCCAAAAGTTGAAATCTCGTTCCTGCGTGTCATAATGACGCGCAGGGCCGAAAATTCAACTTTCGGCCCTTGAAGTGTAATATACTATTCCACTCTTAACACACGAAAAACAATTACAGAATATATAATCTCTATAATGCAAGTGAACTCATACACTATTTGAAGTTAAATAAACAGACCAGCACAAATAATGAAATTCCAAAATCTTTAACGATAATTTTTTATCTTTTGTTATAATAGTTAATGCAGTTAAATCCTACTAAAATCAACACCCGCTAAATTCAATCTCCACTTCTAATTCTAAGAAAAGCTAGTATTTATTCTGACTTTCTTTTTAGCGTTGCTCTTTCTGTCGCTCTCATACTATTTTGATGCTCAGAAATATTAAATTCTCGAAATTTAGAGCCTTGTCAATTTGATTTTAACGGAATTTTGCTGTGAAACATTCCAGTTGATATTTTTTGACATAATTTCACAAATGGGTCATTCCATGTCAAATCGATCAGTAGTTGGAATCGACCCCTTTCGATTTGGATGAATTTTGGTCAGAAGTTTTCTTTTATCATAAAACAAAGTTCTGCCAAAGGAAAAAAAATAAAAAAATTTTTTTCGAAAGATATACAAATTCAAAATTTCGCAATTTTTCCAGTTTTTCAATTTTGTTTTTGCAATATCTCGAATGCTATTATAGATACAGGAATGTACTTTTGTTTGTTTAAAAGGGGACACTTGAGGCTATTGAAAAAAAAAATATTTTGAAAAAAAATTTCGAAAAATGCCAAATTTGTCAAATTTTGAATTTTTGAAAATTGTCAAAAATGAAGACCGCCATTAAAATTTTGGCTCAATTTTTTTTGTATGATACCTTGTAATGATCTTAAAAGATCCTGAAATTTTTGGATAGGGTTTTTTTTTTTCAAAGATATATATTTTTAAATTTCAAAAAAAATTTTTTGAATTTCAGAAAAAAATTTATTTTTGTTTTTTGCAACTTCTATACAAGTTAAAGTTATGCAGACACATAATATTGTACTTTTGAGTATTTAGAAATCAAATGCATGACGTGAAAATTATTAATATTATTAAATAAATAAATATTAAATAATAAATTAATTTCAACTTTTATTCATTTTTTAGACTCAAAATTACAATATTATGTATCTGAATAACTTTAACTTGTATAAAAGTTGTAAAAAACAAAAATAAATTTTTTTCTGAAATTCAAAAAATTTTTTTTGAAATTCAAAAATATATATCTTTGAAAAAAAAAAACCCCTATCCAAAAATTTCAGGATCTTTTAAGATCATTACAAGGTATCATACAAAAAAAATTGAGCCAAAATTTTAATGGCGGTCTTCATTTTTGACAATTTTCAAAAATTCAAAATTTGACAAATTTGGCATTTTTCGAAATTTTTTTTCAAAATATTTTTTTTTCAATAGCCCCAAGTGTCCCCTTTTAAACAAACAAAAGCGCATTCCTGTATCTATAATAGCATTCGAGATATTGCAAAAACAAAATTGAAAAACTGGAAAAATCGCGAAATTTTGAATTTGTATATCTTTCGAAAAAAATTTTTTATTTTTTTTTTTTCAGCAGAACTTCGTTTTATGATAAAAGAAAACTTCTGACCAAAATTCATCCCAATCGAAAGGGCTCGACCCTGATTTAAAAAAAGTATTGAACCATGCAACTGTATATCTATATTGTATGTATATATAGATATACAGTGTGTGAAAAGTATTGAAAAAATATTGAATTACATACTTTTTCAATACTTTTCAATACTTTTTTTTAATCAGGGGATTCCAACTATAGTTGGAATCCACTATAGTGGTCGATTTGACATGGAATGACCCAAATATATTTCTAAATTATCACAAAATTTGATACACATCTACAGCTGGAATTAATTTTAAAACAACATTCACATTTTCACTGGCTTTTGTTCTGTTAGTATAGAAGCACTTCAACATTTTAATGATGCCATCGATCGTAAAATTCTTATCTTAATTAACGCAATTTTATTAGCATTCATGCAAGTTTAAAGTTAGTATAGTAGTAGAGTCATTCAATGTCAAATTGACCAATAGTTGGAATCGACCCCATTTGATTTGGACAAATTTTGGTCAGAAGTTTTCTTTTATGATACAACAAAGTTCTGCTAAAGGAAAAAAAAAACTAAAAAAATTGTTTTCAAAAGATATGCAAAACTCAAAATTTCGCGATTTTTCCAGTTTTTCAATTTTATTTTTTTAACTATCTCGAACGCTATTATAGATACAAGAATGGTCTTTCGTTAGTTTGAAAGAGGGCACTTCCCAGGTAGGAAGGAACTATTAGCTAAGAGTTGGACCAAAACGGTCCTGTCATCTGCCAATGCTGCTAATGCTTGGGTCGAGTCTTAAGTAACCATTGGACCAAGCCTTGATCCAAGCCTTGGATGATAACCATGCCCTAAGCCTTGGGAAACCAAAAAACAAGGCTCGGGCCAAGCCTAGGGGAACCAAAATATAAGGCTTGGGCCGAGTCTTGGAAAACAAATGGCCCAGGGCTCGGACCAAGCCTTGAGGAACTAATTTGCCAGGACTAAAAAAAAATGCGAATGTAATTAAGAAATTTAATTTAATTTTAATTTTATTCGTGATTTTACGGTTTATTATCAGCCTTACGTTATCGTAGCTCGCAAACACTCCAGATTACCTCGAAAAAATCTTTGCTCACGATGGGAATCGAACCTGGTTCACTGGTGTGGAAGTCTCGAACTGTACTGATATTGCTGCACATGGTAGTAACATCAATAGATTAATTTTAGTTACTTAAATATCAGTCAGTCATTTTGCTTTATTACATGATGATCCATAATTAAAATTAAACTTATAACTGCTAAAAATTTTGTATAGTTGAGATAATATAATTTGTTGACAGAATACAGTTATGAAATGTATTTTTAACTTCCGGCAAGAAAATCGAAGATTTTCAGAAATCGGGAAGTTATTGTTTTCACCCCGTTTTACGAAAATCGAGTTTTCATCGAATCTCGACGTTTCGAGGTCCTAGGAGCTTCCCTGACTATTCCCGCGATGGTGTCTGTATGTCTGTATGTATGTATGCATTTATTTAATATGCCAAGGCAATTAGCCGAATGGCAAAAGTTTGTACATAGTTTTATAAAATTTTTACTTAATATTTAATACAAAGTAATAAACTTAGGTGTAAGTGTACATCAAAATCTTATTTAAAAAATAACAATTATAGTTTTATTTTAGATTTAACTTTAATTTTAATTTTAGATTAAATTTGATTTAATAAGTAACAATGTAATATTTATTCTAATCCACGCATTTAACAATATAATGGCAGTTGTTTTGACTAGTAAGTAATAATAGTTAGTAAGAGTATTAGCACATATACAGAAGCCAACGTGAAGGTAATTTACTGGAAGTCAAGTTCCAAGAAATAGTCAAAGATCTTTGTTTTAAACACCTCAAGACTGCTTGCATTCGCAATTTCTGCAGGTAAATTTTGCCACAAACGTATTGTAGTTACTACAAATGAATTTTCAAGATAGTTAGTAGATAAATTTGGCAATTCAAAATTTACATTATTTGTTTTTATAGCTAATCTTTCAGAACGTCTAGCTTCATCTTCAACAAATAATTCCCTAAGGTAACTAGGTTTACCTGTTTGCAATAATTTATAATAATAAGTGATTAAATAATATAGACGTCTTGACTTCACAGGTAACCAATTTAATTTACGCCTGTAAGGGGTAATATGTTCATCTCTCTTTAGATTATAGATAAATCGTATTGAACTATTTAATGCTCGCTGTAATTTTAGATTATTGTCAGCTGTAGCATCAATAAGCACTACAGTACAATAATCAATAAGGGGAAGAATAGTTGCAGTGACTAGAAAATTTCTGATAGCAGTAATATAAATATTCTTTCGACTTTTTAATGTGTATAGAGCAGAGTTTACTTTTCTAACAGTTTGTGAAACATAATTTTTCCATAAGAGATCATTGTTTAGTGATAAGCCCAGACATTTTGTTTGGCTTACATACGGCAAAGCAACATTGTTTATAATAATGGGTGGTAGCGAGTCAATGTTTAACGATTTTAGTTTACTATTTGACCCTATTATCAAAGATTTTGTTTTATTTAAGTTTACCTGTAATCCATGATCTATAGCCCAATCAGCAATCCCCTATACATCAATTGTTACTAATCTAATTGCTTCGATTACTGAAGTAGGTTTAAAGTGATAATATATATATTTGTCGTCGGCAAACAGACCATATTTACAGTTAGTAATTTGTCGTACTAGCAGATTTATAACTATTAAAAACAATATAGGCCCTAGGACTGAACCTTGGGGTACTCCCGATGTTATATCAAGAAACTCTAGTGGGTGGTTTTGATCGTTTAACATTGATTGTGAGCGATTTGACAAGTAGGAGAAAAACCAAGTCACAGTTTCAATCGAAAAACCTAGTTCAAATAAAGCCACTAATATCACCTTCGGGTTGACATAATCAAAAGCCTTGCTAAGGTCAAATAATACCAGCAGAGTTAATTCACCTCTATCTATTGCACATCTGATATCCTCAGTGAGCTTAAGAAGGGCTGATTGAGTACTATGGAACTTTCTGAATCCAAATTGTGTGTGTGTGTGTTCTTTTTCCCTTAGGGGGGGGGGGGAATCCTTTTTACGGATTCTAGGCGTAGCTGGTTGGCCTGGATATGTGGCGACTCGACGCAGCGTCATACTAAAACTCGACGCTAACGCCCCTACCCACTGAACCCTAAATCCCTTTCCTCTTTCCTCTAATCCCTCATGGAAACCGCCGTTAGGCATTACTTCGTGGGGGGAGGATATAGCGACTGCTCTTCCTTCTGGTAACTAAGGTATTATTTGACCCTTCTTCTAGTTGTTGTCATTTGCTCTTTTTCTTTCGATGGAACGCAAGTCTATAAGGACTTCTGTTGCAAACGTGTTTGCGGCGTTCCAGGCAGCCTCTGATGACAGCATTGCTTCTACTATTGTCTCTGGTTGAATTTTCTTCTTCAGGATCATCTCCAGCTCATCTCGCTGTGGGTAAAATCGTGAGCACTCAAAGAAAACGTGCTCCGCGTCTTCATTGATTCCTGGGCAGGACATCCACTCCGGTGAATCATCATGCTTGAAGCGGTGAAGATACGTCTGAAAACATCCATGTCCTGACAACATCTGCGTCAGATAGTAATTGACCTCGCCATGACTCCGGTTTAGCGAAACGTCGATCTTCGGTATGAGACTGTGTGTCCATCTTCCTGTTGTCGCGGCGTCCCACTGCGATTGCCATCGTGCGATGCTGTTCTGCCGTTCTTCAGCTCTGAGTTCATCGGCACTCAGTGTGGTTGACCTCTTTCGTTGGTAAAGGTTCCGTCTTTTCTCAGCTAGAACTCTGAGCGGCAAAGTTCCGGAAATGACACACACTGCTATTTCTGATATCGTGCGGAATGCACTGGCTAGTCTTACAGCGCTCAGTCGATATACTGGTCCAGCTTTTCTCCATGATTCATGCAACTTCAGCGCGTCTGCCCAAATGGATATTCCATATGTGAGCACCGATGTGACAACTGATGATAGTAGTAGTCTCCTGCTCTGCTTTGGGCCTCCGACGTTCGGCATCAGTCGTGCGAGACTAGCCCTCACTACTGACGCTTTGGCACTGACGTGTTCCACTTGCTGTTTAAAGTTGAGACGGGCATCAAGCATCACTCCCAAATATCAGATATAAGGTTGTGATGTGATTTCTTGTTCACCGACTTTCAGCTTGATGGTCTCTAACACTTTTCTGCTGGATATAAGCACTGCCTCAGTTTTGTGTGTAGCCAGATGCAGGTTTACCGTATTCATCCACCGATGGACTCGCTCGAAGGTGATGTTGAACATGTTGTTAATCTCGTCAAGGTATTTAGCGACGATTACTACGGCTACGTCGTCTGCATACGCTACGAGTTTTACACTTCTTAACAATTTCAATCTCAATAGGCCATCGTACATGATATTACACAGCAGTGGACCAAGTACAGAGCCCTGGGGTACACCTCCGGTAATATCGTACTCTGTTGGACCATTCTTCGTGTCGTATTTAAGAACTCTATCGGTGAAATAGCTGGCCACTATTCTACACAGGTATTCTGGAACGTTTTTCTCTCGAAGAGCAAGCTCTTGCATGATGCAGTTCCAGTTGGCGGAATTGAAGGCGTTTTTAATGTCTAATGCCGCCACCAGGCAATACTTCTTTGTGCCACCCTTCCATCTGGTTCCTGCGATCGCTTCTTTTGCCGTGCTAACAACCAGATTGATCGCGTCCAGGGTTGATCGTCCTTTCCGGAATCCATACTGGTTGTCTGCCAGGAGTGGGTCGACTACTGCATCTATTCGTTGATGAATTATGCGCTCAAATATCTTACCCGCCGTATCTAGCATGCAAAGTGGTCGGTAAGATGACGGCTATTCTGGTGGTTTCTTCCCTTTAAGTACCAGTACCAATCGTTGCTGTTTCCACTTACGAGGAAAAGTCCCCTCCTTGAGATATGCATTATAAGCATCTAGGAATAATATTGGAGCTGCCTTTATGATGGTTTTCAAGGCTAAATTAGGGATTCCGTCCAATCCCGGCGCTTTATTATTCCCTATACGGTTACAAGCCTCTTCAGCAGTTCTTCTTCAGTGACAGGTGGGATTTCGTCCAATTCGCCTGGCGCCAACTGGTAATCGAAGTTGCGTTGCTGTGGAAACAGTGCAGTGACGATTTTCTGAAGAAGTTGAGGACCCGTAGGTGATGGCATTTGTTGTTTTTTCAGGTGGGTCATAACCACCTTATAAGGCCTACCCCACACGTAGCCGACATGTCTTCGGAAGGTTCTGGGTTCGAATCCCAGTCCGAGCTATCTAATAATTTTTCTCGCATATTCTATACACTCACATTAAGATGATCCTCTCCACAATCCTTTCTCAATCCTTTCTACCAAAAAATCCTGTTACGTGAATGTTGGAACGCTTCACGTAATAATTATCCGTAACTCCTATTCTTTCCCGCTTCACAGCATTATTTATATTTGTTAAACATGCCACCTCGTATTTGTTAAACATATCCACCTCGTATATAAGCTCTTTCCAGCATCTTCTTTTGCTCTCTTTGATGGCTTTATTCAGTTCACGACACGCCTTTTTGTACTCTGCGATCAGCTCCACTGAGTTGGGCCGTTGATAGTTGCGCTGAGAGATTCTTCTTTTCTTATGACACTCTTTACGGAGAACGCTGATGTAGTCGTTCCACCAATGCACCGAAGGTCTCGGATTTATGCCACGTTTACGAGGCATACTGGCATCACAAGCATATGTTACTCTCTTCATCAGGTCCTTAGTCTGTTCTTCTGCACATCCAGTGTTGATCGGATCACCATCGAGGGCTATTAGTAATGCTTCTGGGTCAAAAGATTTTACCTTCCAACCCGGGGAAAACGGTTTAGATCTGACCAGATATAATTATATCTGGTCAGATCTAATTATATCTGGTCAGATCTATTTATATCTGATCAGACATGGGATTGGAGACATAATCAGATCTAGTTATATCTGATTAGATCTAGTTATATCTGATCAGATCTAAACAGATATAACTATATCTGAGTTGAAAAATTCATCAGACATGATCAGATCTAGTCATATCTGATCAGATATAAACAGATATAACTATATCTGAGTTGAAAAATACATCAGACATGAACAGATATAGTCATATCTGATCAGATCTAAACAATCTAAACAGATATAACTATATCTGGGTTGATAAATACATTAGACATGATCATATCTAGTCATATCTGATCAGATCTAAACAGATATAACTATATCTGAGTGGAAAAATACATCAGACATAATCAGATCTAGTCATATCTGATCAGATCTAAACAGATATAACTATATCTGGGTTGAAAAAAAAATCAGACATAAAAAGATTTTATTATATCTGGCCAGATATAACTATATTTGTTAACTATTAATAAATACTGATAAACTATTTTACTAAATATACTTTCCTCCCAAATAAATATTTATTGAATGTTATAAAATATTTATTAGAATTTAATAAATTAAATAATTGTTCTCGAATAAATTAATTTGTTAATAGTTAATGAATCTTCCCATCAGCGTATATTGATAATTAATAATTTGCAATAAATTTGATAAAAAACTTTGTTCATTACGCATCGATCATGGACACGATTCACATTACTTGTACCCGGAAAAAACAGATTAGATCTGGCCATATATAAACAGATCTGGCCAGATCTGCTAAGGCTATTAACTATAGTTATTACAAACTCTACCTACTCTCGTTTCAAGTAAGTCGCGTTGGTAAACAGGTAATGAATTAGTCTCTCAAGCGTTAGGTCCCAGGTTCGGTTCCCGTGCGCGCCGATTTTTTTTTTTTTATGAAAATAATTCTATATAATTGTATATAATTATATAGAGCTATTTTTCGTATATAATTATGTATGAGTATATATAATTATATATAATCATTTTTACCTGGACAATTTTAAAATTTGACCAGATCTGGTCAGATCTGATTATATCTGGCCAGATCTCGTCAGATAGAGACAATTTAAAGATCTGCATGACTGGTCTCTTGGGGTTCTGGTCGCTTGATATTTCCCAGAATATCGCATGATGGTCGCTGGCATTGTAGATGTCCAACACTTTCCAGTTGCCGTCGCCTCTAGCAAGGCTATTACTGACAAAAGTGAGGTCTACAATTGAGCTTGCGTCACCTTTCCTGCTACAAAGCCGGCATTGCTGTTGTCGACTGCATTTTGGAAAGAAAGCTTGCTACATGACCAGATGACAGCTTTGGATGTGCTGTCAGATTTCCAGGGTTGGGTACTCAGGTGTGTGTGTGTGTGTTTTTTTTTTGGGGGGGGGGGAATCCTTTTTACGGATTCTAGGCATAGATGTTGGCCCGGATATGTGGCGACTCGACGCAGCGTCATACTAAAACTTGACGCTGACGCCCCTACCCACTAAACCCTAAACCCCTTTCCTCTTTCCTCTAATCCCTCATGGAAACCGCCGTCAGGCATTACTTCGTGAGGGGAGGATCTAGCTACTGCTCTTCCTTCTGGTGGCTAAGGTGTTAACTACCTTCCTATATGTATGAGTCCATATATGATCAGATCTGATCATATAT